TTATATATATATATATATATATATATATATATATATAGTTATATTTAATTGTATTTTATTTCAATTTATTATTTCATTTTATGCCGCAGTGGGCGCTTCAAAATAAGGGAGCGTCTAAAAATGTAGTATTATGTGTGTACTGTTTAAAACGCTTGTCCATTTCTCCAGAAATAACTCATTGACTCGTAAAACAAACATGACAACTAGTATAGCACAGTCTCTCACAGTATTTGCACTTTGAGCGGATATATGTATGCATACTTAAGGCTGATTTATACTTTTGCGTCGGACCTACGCTGTAGGCTATGCGTCAGTTTTCATTTATACTCCTGCGTCGTTGTCCGCGTCGATGTGCAGTACTCATGCAAACCGCTAGTCTGCAGTGTCCACGGGCATGTTGCTGGTGTAACCCGCAGTACCACGGCAAAAGCCGAAGAAGAAACAGGCTCGTCGGAGAAGCATTATAGCCGTGACGCCGGCAAATAAATATCAAATCATTAAATCATTATTTAAAACTACAAAAAGGAGACAACAACGGAACAGGAGATGATGGCATTCTTTCAATCTGCACAATGACTTGTACTACGGCAGATCAACATTGTTTGTTGCGGACAACTACTGATGTATAATGCTGTGTAGTATAATAAATGATAAGACCGAGCGGCAACCTCCCGCTCTCTCTCGTGAAGCCAACACGGAAGTGACTTAAACTGTAATTCATCGACTGGCCGCTAGAGGCTGGCTGCAAAACGGAGTCAGTCCCATAGACTCCCCATGTTAAAATGCCCAACTTTACAGCAGAAAAAAACATGTTTACAGCCTGGTTCAAAAAATGATTTTGGTCTATATAGCTAATTTTGCCCTTCATGACAACTGTTAGCGGGGTGAATTTTTTTATAACTCATCCGTTTAAATTATATTAAGCCTTAAAGTTCTGCATAATTAAGGGCGTGGCCACTTGAGTGACAGGTGGATTGTCGCTGCTGTCGAGCTAGGTGGGCGTGGTCTCAGCAACCAGCTCCCGCCTCTTTGCCCATTTTCGATTATCCGAGAGTGACGCGCTGCCAAGATGGCGACGGCTGGCTCCGCCTACTTTAGGCGTATGGGTGTGCGTCTATGCGTAAGCTACGACGTAAGTCCGACGCAGAAGTATCCACCTTTTTCTTCAACGCGGAAGTAAGCCTATGGCTGAGACTTCCGGTTCATTAGCCGCTACAGGTAAATAACGAGGAGAATAACAACGTGCAGTAAACGGTAAAACTGTTTGCACTACAAACCAGTGTGTTCATAATTAAGATAATACATTAAAATAATATGATAAGACACACCAACTTTCAATACCAAGCAGCAAAACCAACTGTTTTGCTCAGCTAAAAATAGCTAGACGCAGATGAGACCGGAAGCCAGACCGGAAGTCAGACCCATATAATTTACAAATGGCCGCGCCCATTTTTACGACAAGAAAAAGGTGGATAAATCAGCCTTCAGTGGTTCAAACGTACGCTTTGTAAGAAAATAGTAGTAATTTAGTGATGATCCCTAAACTAAACAGTGCGTCGTTTGCCTCTGACTGTACAGCAACAGTCCAGCAGCAAAAGCGAGTCTTTAGACTTGAGCTTGCAGCGACAATCTGATCGATCATGACGGTAATTTCACATTTAATTTAAAATTTAACTCGGAAAGATCTGTTTATTTGTTGCTTCCTGATTTGTGGACATTCAAAATCACTTTTTATCTGGCATAACTCCTCTTAGCTTTGTAGCTAGCTGGAGATTGATTCTCTTATAGAGCTGAATCAAAGATGTTTTCTTTTCTCCTGACAGACTCACCAGTTTTTTGTGGACATGACATGTGAGGGATGCTCTGGGGCGGTCACTCGAGTGCTTAAAAAGCTGGGTATGCTTTTGAATATTTCCGATTTCAAGCAGTCTTCTGCTGTAAGACCACTGGACTGTTTATTTATCGGCCTACACTATTTCAAACATTAAAGTGAAACTACTTTGGCTGAATATATCAAAATACAGCTTCATTTCTTTCTTGTTTTAGTAGCTGCACAAACTCATAAACTCATAGCATATTAGGGATGTAACGGTATGAAAATTTAATATCACGATTATAGTGACCAAAGTTATCCAATATTATCCTTTTTTTTTAGCAAAAACATTAAATTAACATTAACATGAAGCCCTAATAATAATAATAATAAATCACTTGTATATATTTACAGTATATATATATATATATATATATATATATACACACAATGTGATTTCCGTTTGTGATCATGTGATCTTCGGTTAGAAGATCTTGATGCTTTTTAAAGCAAAGTTGGGGTTGATTTCGAGTTCACATACAAACAATTTAATTGTTACATTACAATTTTTAAAATTTTAATGTAAGAACATATTTTTCATCAGTGATAGAAATATGATTTAAGACAGTAGTGTAAGCAAGTTTGGTTTGAAAACGTTTAATAGTAAATAAGACACAATTAGACAATATTTCAATAAAATAATAATAATAAATATTTCGCCTTGGCTCAAAGCCACTTGCTGAGAACTTTTCTTCGCGGAAGCTTTGCGTTAATTACAAGTGAGATAACGAAATATTTAATCTCTAATCAATATTTTTTGTCCAATTTTTTGCCCAGTTAGTTTTGGTACTGAGGTAAAAGTAACGTTGTATTCGCTATATAACAGTGGGTGGTGGTCACGAAGATTACTGAGCAAATTTGATGCGTTTCCCCGTTTTGCTGCTACTTTCTTCTTGCAAGATCTGCAGACAGGGTGACCGTCCTAAACAACAACAACAACAACAACAACACTGCATGCTGCTTCTGCAACAGACTGATGCTGGCTGGACAGGATTTACTGCAAGTTTTCAAAATTGCGATAATCATGTTTGATGATATCACGGTATCACGATATCAATTATTCTGTCAATATGGGGTGCTGTGTGTACATTAATGAGGAAAAAAAATGAACTTAAATGATTTTAGCAAATGGCTGCAATATAACAAAGAGTGAAACATTTAAGGGGGTCTGAATACTTTCCGTACCCACTGTATCTGTCTCATTCATCTATTTAAATATTAGATGCTTTCGCTACAGTATCTACGATAATGAAGCTGTATTGGAATATTAGCTGCCGGTACAGTTACTTTCTTCATGTGGCTGTAATGTTGATTTGTATTTAGCCACTTGTCCTCTTGGAAAACCATGGGAGATTTAGTTTTCTATAGGAAATGGGGTTTATTTGGTTGATTAGCAGTAGCCTAATGGTTAAGGGTTGAGGCTGCTAGCACACTTTAGAAAAGCTACCTCAAGGAGACACTCTGGAGATATATATATATATATAAAGAATATTTACAGAGTCCAAAATTGCCATTTAAGTAAATGTATAAATACTCACCGAAGCCATTTTTTGTTCAAATTTGGTGCATTGCTGTTATTTTTTGACCCTGTTGACTAAGTTTGCCATTTAAAAGGTCTTGACTCTCTTATCTCTTTCTCACAGGAAAAAGATGTCAGGAATGGATCAGTTTGCTTCTTTGCTTTACCCTCATGGCCTTCAACTTCTGTTACCTGGTAACATACTTCCACCTAGGACACACCTGGTACATCCTCCTGGGCATCGGTTGGTACAACAAACAAACCCACATATACACGTCAATGTTTAATAAAGTAGTGGTAGGCACAACAAAGAAGTTGCAAATTACAACTTGGAAATTCCCAGTATTCAAGAAAGCTAAAAGCTGCTAGAATGAGTCTCTGTGTGACTTGCAACTACCAAAAACATTTTTTTTATGAGAACTGAAAGACATTTTGGTTTATAATAGGATTTAGAGATTGATTTTATTCTCAGATTCTGCTGTACGTGTGTGTGTGTGTGTGTGTGTGTAGTGGCAGGGATCCTGACAGCAGACTTTGCCTCTGGTTTGGTCCACTGGGGTGCTGACACATGGGGTTCAGTGGATCTGCCCATCGTTGGGAAGGTACAGGAGTGAAACAGTCTTTGTTCAAATTTGGTGCATTGCTGTTATTTTTTGACCCTGTTGACTAAGTTTGCCATTTAAAAGGTCTTGACTCTCTTATCTCTTTCTCACAGGAAAAAGATGTCAGGAATGGATCAGTTTGCTTCTTTGCTTTACCCTCATGGCCTTCAACTTCTGTTACCTGGTAACATACTTCCACCTAGGACACACCTGGTACATCCTCCTGGGCATCGGTTGGTACAACAAACAAACCCACATATACACGTCAATGTTTAATAAAGTAGTGGTAGGCACAACAAAGAAGTTGCAAATTACAACTTGGAAATTCCCAGTATTCAAGAAAGCTAAAAGCTGCTAGAATGAGTCTCTGTGTGACTTGCAACTACCAAAAACAATTTTTTTATGAGAACTGAAAGACATTTTGGTTTATAATAGGATTTAGAGATTGATTTTATTCTCAGATTCTGCTGTACGTGTGTGTGTGTGTGTGTGTGTGTGTGTGTAGTGGCAGGGGTCCTGACAGCAGACTTTGCCTCTGGTTTGGTCCACTGGGGTGCTGACACATGGGGTTCAGTGGATCTGCCCATCGTTGGGAAGGTACAGGAGTGAAACAGTCTTTTTCATGTTATTAAGTGTTGCCAGAGTTATTTAAGGTAAAACAATTAATAAAATCCTTTGAGAACAAATAGATAGACTCACTGGATTTTTTTAGGACATTTAAGATTTGCGTTTGTAAGTTAAACTTCTTTTAAATGTCTTCTAAACGTCTTTAAAAGAAAATATGAATCTCAGGTAAATATTCTCAACTACTAAATTGTACAAGCACAGTTACTTCTCTTAAAAATGAACTTTTCCTTCATACCAGGCCTTCATTCGTCCGTTTCGAGAGCACCACATCGATCCAACAGCTATAACGCGCCATGATTTCATTGAGACGAATGGTGATAACTGTATGTTGACTATCATCCCTCTGGCTAACATGGCTGCAAACTTTTTGATGCTCTCACCAGGTAAGACGTCAGATATATTATCTGTCCATCAGAGAGACAAATGATGAACCACATTAATTTCATATCGTGCTGTTCTCTTTCTCAATCTGTCTTCAGCGGAGATCTATCGGAACTACCCCTGGTACTGTTACGTCTTTGCTTTAGCCATTTTTGTTACATTGACCAATCAGATTCACAAGTGGTCGCACACATATTTTGGGCTTCCACGCTGGGTGACGTTTCTTCAGGATTGTCACATCATTTTACCACGGAAACACCACAGAGTTCACCATGTTTCACCTCATGAAACCTACTTCTGCATTACCACAGGTACATGCACACAAACAATAAGCATTTTTATGCTCAAATCTTCCTCGCTTCTGTGGTAGTACATATCAGTGCTTTGTTTATGGTCTGTATTATGTACGCTATCATTTAAAAGTTTGGGGTCAGTAAGATTTTTTGAAAGAAGTCTCGTATGTTCACTAAGTTTGCATTTATTTGATCAAAAATACAGTAAAAACTTTAATATTGTAAAATGTTATTACAACTATATTTTTACAGCTGTTTTCTTTTATAATATATTTTAAGATGCAATTTATACCTTTGTGATGGCAAAGCTGAATTTTCTGCTTCATCACTCCAGACTTCAGTGTCACGTGATCCTTCACCATTCAAATCATTCCAATATGCTGATTTGGTGATCAAGAAACGTTTCTTATAATTATCAATGTTATAAAAGATCTGTGCTGCAGAAGTTCAAAAGAACCGCATTTATTAGAGATTTGTTTGTGTAAAAGTTTTTTTCTGTCACTTTTGATCATTTTTAATGCATCCTTACTAAATGTAAATGTATATTTTTTTCAACAAAAATAAACAAACCCCAAACCTTTGAAGATGAGTATATAAGGTTCAATGATCTGACATTATTTAAAAAAACGTATCTATTAATTATATACAAAAATACATGTGGTTTATTCAAAAATTCAAAAATAAGTCATGTGGTGCAACCAACATGCACAAAAAAGGAAATTATATCATAAAGAAGACAATTATAGACCCTTGTGAGTGTGATACTGTCCAAAAAGGCTAAAAACGAATGATATTTATGAATGAATAATTTGATATTTGTAAAAAAAATTATCTTGAAAATAAACTTTTAAAAAAATAATAAAAAATGTTTAAGTGTACACTTTACATGTATTCAGTGTGTAAGAAAAATGTACACCCCAAGACATTTTTAAACTAGTATTTTAAATTATACAATTCCAATTATATACAAATTAAAGTCAGTCATACTGTTACATGTCATTGACCTAAATGTCTTTGTATGTGCAGGCTGGTTGAACTATCCTCTAGAAAAACTGGGATTCTGGAGAAACCTGGAAGATCTGATCCAGAGCCTGACAGGAGAGAAACCCAGATCAGATGACCTCAGATGGGCCCAGAAAACCAAGTAATCTTCCTCTGCCACCAACCCACCTCCCCTACCTCAGACCTGCCTCAGAACAAGAGGAACGGCAAGATAGCAATGCCCAAATTAGAAAGCCATCAATTCTTAGCAAAAGTTAAGTGAAAGGGGGTTGACAGAGCGATTGAAAGCAATATCCCACCCCGCTCACTCTAAAGATCCAAACATCTAAATCCTTGTTGAAAACTTGAGACTTTTGTGAAATGTTTAAAACTCTTCAAAGTGCAAAAAACAAGCGAATTTAAAAAGCCAATACTTGAACAAAGTGGGCTCTTTTCTGGACACCTTCTCATCCTTTAACTGCTCAAAGCTTTGCTGACTAGCAAAGTTTCTGAGGGACTGGCCTCTGCTCTTGGGTTTGGCCTTTGGGACTGATATCTCTTGCTCTCACCCTTCTCTTGTTTGGGGTTAAAGTGCAGTAAAGTCAAGGCATTTTGGCTCTTTGACCAGAGAGGGCTGAAAACACGTGTCTTCGTCTGTTGCTTGTGTCTGAACGGACAGAGCAGCATCATATGCAGTCTTACTTCAGTACGCCTTAAAAGATGAATCACAAGAAACTTGCTTTGCTTGGCCTCATCCTTACACTTCATTCATCTTTTCATGATTAATACTTTCTTTTGAAGCACATTTGCAAATTCAGAGGTGCTGGAAGCAGTCAGCTGTTGACAAAGTATATTGGAAGTATTTCCACATAGGTCAATATTTAGGCCATGAGATCTACATTGGTGTCCTCGCTGCTCGACACTGAGATAACCCAACAGAAACTCAGAAAAGGCCTCATCCATTTTTAGTTAGTATTAACTTCATCATAGGGTAGGTTGATGCGAGCTTGACCAGCTGACTGACACAAACTAACACTTTCACTCCATTGCTCGAGTTTTGGATTGGCATACATTGTTACTTAACAGTTTAATGTTGAATTTAACGCTAGCATGTTAAATCACACAGCTCGTAGTTCTTATTTAATAATAATATGAGATGCTAAGGGCAGTTACAGCATGATGAAAATGATAGAATCATCAGAACATCTAGCTGTCTAGTGACTTACAACTACTACTAACTGCTTATTTAATGAGCGTTATGCACATATTTTCTTTTATAAAGCTGCAATGACAATGGATTGGAAAAAAAGATTTATTTACTTGACTTTATATTTAAACACAGCACTAGTCATATTTTTTTAATTAATAGAAATATTAAGGAGTCTTTCATTAATAAAAAAAAGATCTTTGCTCTGCTTTGAGAAGTGTTGCTATTCAAGCAATGTAGTTTAGGCAGTGTTTATCATGTGTGGTTACCATTGTAACAGTCGTCTTATAAGAGTGAGGAAATGGGAGAAGAAATGAACATTATCAAATGTAACATAATTGTGATCATTTTTGTTGTGCCATTTGTTTTTTACTTTTATTTTTCTGAATCAGTTTAATTATTTTTCTAACAATAACTGTTACACCATGTTTGCAAAGATAGTTATTAAGCCTTCACAAGTCATAAACTGTAACGGTCAACCCAATCAAGTTACAGCTTTTAAGTTTTATGCTTGTGTTAATATTCATGCCAAAACCTTGTTACTGTCAGCAGCAATGTGGCTGTTGTTGTGTTTCATTAGGTCAGTATGGTGATAGTACATGTTGTTTAGATGGGTCAGCTCGACAGAAGGTCAGAGAATGTGTTTTAGAGAGCGAATTCATTTGTCCCGAGATGTAAAACTGTTACAAAGGCACAGCCAGAACTGTAAAAATTGATTTTTGAGCTGATTCAAAATGTTGTGTTGTGTTACATCTAAATTTCCTCCTTTTCTGAATTCAGGAAGATTTGTTTAGTGGAATATTGTAGTATTTTTGACAGTCGACTAAAATCTTATATATTTCTATGCTTATACAAGATGCCAAACTTATTTTTGCTCTGCTAATAGATCTGTTGTGATGTGTTTGGTCGGTGTTTATTTGAAGAGGACACTCCGGTGGTGATTTTCTTTGTACAGGGAACTGGAGCTTAAACCAATTACTTTTAGTAAAATGTTACATTTGTCATTGGACTCCACTTAATTTTGTATTATACGTTTTTATAATGACATTCTTTCCTACATTCTACATTGCGCAGTGTGGACGATCAGATCATATTACATAGCTTTACTTTTTTTTTTTTTGAATATACTGATCGTGTAGGACTCCACCAGCTGTAACATTTCTAAGCTTATTTCCTATTGATTGAAAATGGTGGAAGAGGTGAGCTGGAGCAGACTGTGATCATGATGTGGTGATGCAGTGACGATTGTGCTTTTGTCTAGTTAAGCTGGTTCTGCAGGGCTAATTATTATATAAACCCACAGAAATGTAGGATTTTGCTTAAGAAATGCTACTAATTTGGTGTGCAATGTATTGTGGTAACTGAGTGATTGTATTATCAAACACGCAAGATTAGAGTGTTAAAAACCATTCCTCTGTTGAGGCTCCTTGCTTTCCATGCACAGCGCAGTAGTATGTGGCTGTGAGGAGATTGAACTAATCACATTGTACTTGCTCAAAAATATTGTATTTTCTCTTAGATAGCAAAGCCAATTCCTTATTCGCCGGGGTCATTTGATCAATGACCCTTGGCATTCACACTTGTTACTGAATGTTTGTTGTTACTGATTTATTGGAAGAAGCCTTTAAAATGCTATCTTGGCTGATTTTGCAATTCACCTCAAAGTCTCACATTCAGTACGTTTTTTGTAGGACGGCTACTTGTTGAAAACTGAAAATAACGCCTTAATGCCTTTTTGTTGTTTCCTGTTTTGAAAACTTTTATGTCATTAAGTTCTTATTTATAATGAAATTAATAAAGAACTGGAAATGTGTGTTGCCTGATTTGTGTTCTTAATTGTCTGAAATGCCTTAAATGTCAGGTCATTTGGAGATGTTAATTCTTGAGTGAGCTACACATCAGACGGCAGTTGGTGGGGGGACAACAGGTTCAAGGGATTTTAACAAATATTATAACTGGATTTCCATTCAAGGACAAATATGGACATTTCCATTCAACTTTGACTTGCCTATTAAAGCTAAATGTTTGCATCAAACAACCCACTCATATTTTGGGTAATAATCATCTTAAGTTGACTTATTAGAATGATGCCATTTATTTGGAAAACTGTGAACTCATGTGACACATTCCTTTTGTTCTTTTTCTTTTACCTTTCACCTTCATTCCAAAGTTCTCTCTCTCTCTCTCACACACACACACACACAGGTTTGTTTTTGTGAAAAGTGGGGACATCCCATAGGCGTAATGGTTTTTATACTGTACAGACCGTATATTCTATTACCCTACACCTAAACCTACCCCTTACAGGAGACTTTGTGCTATTTCAGATTTTCAATACACTCCATTCTGTGTGATTTATAAGCGTTTTGAAAAGTGGGGACATGGGGTAATGTCCTGAAAAGTCACCTTCTCCTTGTAATACCTATGTCATACCTTTGTCATTATAGAAATGTCCTCATTTGTCACAAAAACGCGCGCACACACACACACACACACACACACACACACGACTGTTATGACATTGTGACTGAACCAAAAGAGAAATAAATAGAGGTGGTTAACACCAGAACAGATTGCAACACTTCATAATATATGAAACATTGTTATCAGATTACTTGTAATATATTTAGATTTATTCAAATAATAAATATAAATAATACATTTATATTTTATAGAAACGGAACCACTTTTGTATGTGAATTGTTTTGTGTTGAGTTCAATAACAAACATTGTATATTGTATATTTCATAACTAAACAATCTATTCCTGTATGTGGGGCACTGGGAAGATTTTCACAGTATTGAAAAATGAAGGAAATGATCTGAAAATCATAAAAAATTATATTAATTTATACACAATTTCCAAAGTTCATAAATGTTTTTTGTAACACTTTAGAATAGAGATCAAGTCTCACTATTAACTAGTTTCTTATTAAAATGTATATTATTAACATATTGGCTGTTTATTAGTACTTATAAAGCATTTATTCTGCATGACCATATTCTACATCCCTAATCCCAATACCTAAACTTAACAACTAGCCTACATTAATAACTATTAATAAGCAGCAAATAAGGAGTTTGAGGCAAACGTCGTAATTAATGGTTTGTTAATAGTGAAAATTGAACCTTAAAACAAAGAGAACAAGTTTTTTTTAATGGTTTTTTAAAGAAGTTACTTATGCTCACTACAGCTGCATTTTTTTTTTATCAAAACATTTAGTAAAGTCGGCGACAATAGCCTTGTGGTTAGTGCGTTGACATATAGTGCAGCTGCACTCACACTGACCTGAGTTTGATTCCCGTCTCGAGGTCCTTTGCAGACCCCGCTCTCCTCTCTTTTCCCAGGAATTTCCTGTCGTCTCTCTACTGTCCTATCTGAATAAAAAGCCCATAAAAATAACTGTAAACAAAAAAAACATTTCGTAATACTGTGAAATATTTAAAATAACTGTATTCCTGTGATGGTGATTGGTGCTTGAGGAACATTTCTTATTGTTGAAAAGCCTTGAGCTGCTTAATATATTTGTGGAACATGTTCTCATGGGTCCCATCTATACAGCTGGATGGTTTTATTTAATGTGGTAATAGTTATATTAAATCTTTCTTTTTTAGGTACAAGTTCAAAGCCTAACGAAAGCTGTTAATCAGTAATAGGGGTTGTACATGTAGGCCACACCATATAGGAAGCTGCACTTATACTGTATGCTGTGCCTGAATAAGCTTTAAAGTCAAAATGGCTTGTGATGTTTTGATTTGTTAACCTTGATTTTACCTACGATCACAAAGAAAATAAAATAAGTTTAATATTTAGTAAAATGTTCAAAGTGTCCTAATATGAGTGTTCAAAGTTCCACTGAAGACTGACTTCAGAGTCCAGGACTATAGCTCAAATATTATGTGAATGTGCCCTACATTTTTTTCATCTTGAAGACAGATATGATTATTGAATAGGTTCAAAGTACTTGCCACAAAAGAGAGAATATTCTGTTCACAATTAAATGATCATGATACATCTCGGAGGCACGGCAGGCCTATAAGTCAAATTTTTACTATTTACTGAACACTGTGGATGCACACTTTACATCTTGATGTCAATGCTGTAGTACAACGAGTTTCACAGAAGAACTGGATCTGCTAAAATTGCTTTTTTGTGAAGCCTGTCATGTGACCAAAGAGTAATGCACCTCATTAGAGCGGGATGACCTTCATGAGAGAGACAGACCCACCCACACACGTATGCTGAGGTTAAAAATCACATATCATTGTGGACAGTTGAGAAGTTAACCGGTAACAACGGGACACCAGACCGGGGAATGATAGCCGTTTCCATGACTGTACATATAGCACGCACTAATGTCTGTTGAGGAAGAAGAGCGTGTTCAGTCTGGCTCATTGCCTCAGCAGTAATGTGAGTATTGTATTTGTTTAATGCTCCTTCAGTGAGGTAGCACATAAATCAATCTTTTGTCCTGTGTTACTGGCATCAGATTTTTGCTAGAGCTGAAAAATGCTGACTGAATATTTTTACCATGTCGCTACTGTTATCATGTTACATTTGCGCAAATCTGGTTGTCTTTGACTTAACCCACAGGACAACTGATGTTGAAAAGACATCAAATTGACATCAAAATTGGCGTCAAAAAACAGGTCAAATATGCAAATCAAACTGATGTAATAACTTGACATGGAGTTTACATTTTATGTAACTTGAACATCAAACATATTGTCCTGCATATACATGAAACCAATTTCAGTGTGGGATTAACTTCCTATTTTTACCCAATTATCAATTGCCATCCAAACTGAATTTAAACTCATGTTACAGTTGATATCAAATTGATATCAAGGTGCCTGCTGGGAAGACGGGGAAGAAGTTTAAGTTTTAATTAGGGCCGCACGATATATCGTTTCAGCATCGATATTGCGATGTGCGCATCTGCGATAGTCACATCGCAGGATGTGCGATGTTTACGCTACTGAGCGTTATTTTTATACTGATCGTTTTCTTTGCTCACACACAGACAACGTGTCTACACTGCCCGGCACCGCTAAAGTCTGTCTACACTGGACGCGACAAAGCGACCACTGCAAATAATTTGCACTTTGTGTCAGTACGTCATAAATTAGACCACGGCATCAGTTTACTGTCGGGGATTTGTGCGCCGCGCCACATTTAGTATAGACAGTAGTATCACTGATTATAATGGGTTTTATAGTATTTTATAGCGTCGTACCGCGTATGTCAAAATGCATGTCTCTGGAAGTATCCTTGTAAACACAGTTGCTTATGGCTTAGGTGAAGGTGGACAATTGAGAAAGAAAATGGATGTGTAACAGTATATTCACAGCAGTTTAATGTTCCTGTCGCTTTCTGTGTCATGAATGTTTATCAAACAACAAAACACAGAGAGAAAAAACACTTTTGTAGCTTTAACACAAATTTATTAGATTTAATTTATACAGGGAAGACTATGCAGTGTTATTTTACGTTTGATTATTCAATTTCTATACCTGAATACTGTTAGACTTGAAAAATTATAGACTGAAAAATATGAAGCACCGTTTATTTAATTTGTATCTTTGTTCTATTATATTTATCTATGCTTGTAATTTGTTTATTTTCTATGCTGATTTCTACAAAATCAGCCCAATCATTGATTATTATTATTTTTTTCCAAATAGAGCAATTCAAGTCATCTGGTGATTTTTTTTTTCATATCGCAATATATATCGCAGAAAAACAAAATATTGCAATGTGAGTTTTTTTCCCAATATCGTGCAGCCCTAATTTGAATGTTAAGTCTTTGATTGTAAAATAAATAAATAAATAAAGTTATTATATAATTATACATTACATTATTATTATATTATAACTTTTAAATATAAAAAATGTTTTTTTTAAACAATTAACAAGCCATATTAATCCAGCAATTCACATTTTACTGTTGCAATATCTGTTTATGATCTTTTTATTGCTATGTTGCACTTGTACTTTGTATTGCATGAAACGTGTTATATAATTAGTTGAATTGAATACAATTCTATATATAAATTCTCTCTCTATATATAATATATAAAATTGACAGTAAATACTTGTAGTTACAAAAAATCTATTCATAATAAATTCTCTTAATTTGCAATAATAAATCTATCTATCTATCTAGATATATAATTGCTACTTAATTACTTGGTCTGGACCTTGAATATTTATTTTCTGTTTCTCACTAAAGGTAATCAGATGTCTTCACAAAGGCAAGAAAAGAAGACATCCAAACATAGCCGAACTGAAGTGGCATCACACTCTTTACAATACTGAAGTTGAAAGGAGTTGTCTGACATCAGATATTTCTACATTTCAACCAGCTGTTCAGCATGCCTCTGTACATCCATGCCTTGGCATGTGCTTTCGGTCTGGGCTCCTGGGTGTCCATTAATGGCTTGTGGGTGGAGCTTCCTCTGATAGTCAATGTTCTGCCAGAGGGTTGGGACTTGCCCTCGTACCTCACAGTCATCATTCAGCTTGCCAACTTAGGCCCTCTGCTGGTGACCCTGGCACACAAGTTCTGTCCCGGGCGACTACGTGAACATCTGGTCATCTATGCGGTCCTGTCGATCGGTGTTGTAGCTTGCATCCTACTTGCTGTGTTTTGGAAGAACACCACCGTGATCCTTGGGCAACCGCGTAGCACAGCATTTTTCATTCTCACGTTTTTTCTAGCTCTAGTCGACTGCACCTCATCTGTCACCTTCCTGCCATTCATGATGCAACTTCCAGCCAAATACATCAC